ACATAACTTGAGGAAGATCAATCTTCAAATCTGAATTGAAATGTAGAAGCAGATCTTTTTCAATAGGGTCCACTTGGTCTAAATCTCTATCCTTAGGCAATAAGTTTGAATTTATAATCTGACTTCAAACAAAAGCATCAAGAAGAAGATTAGAAACCACTGACGTATCAAATGGATCTACAAAGATACGCCAAGTAGGAAGATAGTATCCCCAAACAAGGGTTCCTGGGATATCTCCAATCTCCTTACGATTAATCACAAATGAAACTTCTTTAGAGGTTACTGTAATAGAAACACCAGTTGCTCTAGAAAAAATAGCATACTCAAAATTTATCTCTACAATGGAGGCATTGATCCAAAGATACAGTCTCCCAAAAGTTGAAACCAATATTAAGCAACTCATGAAAATCCATAAACTTTTCATTGATGAAAACCAGCTGATTCAAAGGAGAATAAACTGAAGAATTCATCCCAGGTTTGATTTGGTCAGCACACAAACAAGAGGAAAAGAAGAAGAAAGAAAAGAAACTGAACAAGAATCTTACAGAAATAAGAATTTTGTCAGAAAAAGGACACAATGATGTTTTACATGACATGGAATAGTAACAGCAAGTAGTAAAAGAGAAAACATCATTACCCAAAGGTTCTTTATCCAGCAGATATTTCAATTCCACCAGATAGGTTTCACCTTTATGAAAGGTTAAGTATTATAAAATCTTTTAGAAAACTTTTTACTTAAACTGCTATGACAGTCACAAAGAATCTTCTTTTGAATATCAGAAGCTGATAACTTTCATAAGCTATCAACCATTAGAGTCTAATAAGTCTAGACTTAGACAAAGATATCATCTATCAGTCATAAGTCTTTAAGATTCTATTCAGAACTAGCACTTTATCTTGAAACAAGAGTCATGAGTGATAAATGAATATTGAATTGTCTTCTTTAGACAACTAACAAGCAACAATATTAACACAAAAGTGAGAAAAATGTTTTCATAAATGTGATCATCATCTGGCTTGATAAGACATTCAGTATAGACAAACACAACAGAGTTTCCTCTTAAAGATTTTTGAAGTTCTATTTTTTTCAAAATAACTTCTCTAGAGATCTAATAGAAACTTTGTATTTATATCTAAACAAATGTTTCATCGAATAAAAAGATAAACCAAAAAAGAACAAACATACTACATTTTTTTGTTTGGCCAGACTCGATTCGATATTCAGACTTGACCAATAGAGTCTGAACACAACTTTAAGTGGATTCTGATTCAGTGGCTGTCTAACCACTGATTCCACTACTCTCACCAAATTCAGTATCACCAGTACTTGAATCTGGGATATTGGCTTTTCTTCTAGTCAATGATGTAAACAACCTTACGGAAGATGCCTTCACTTCTTTCCTTGATATCTATAGCAGATACATTATGATACTCATATTTCTATAAGACCATATATGCAAGTACAAATAGACTCTTTTCTGCCTTATATCTCAATCTAATAGTAGATCATAAGTCACTCCAGGGTATGAGTCTAGAATGATATATGATAGGAAAATAATATTGTTCTAAGCAATGTCAATAATCTCATTATCTTGGATTAAATCTTTTGAATTTAAAATCATTGACAAGCTCAGAACCAGATGGCGTTAGCTATCAGAGATTAACAAAAAGCATATCAGAGTACAGTGTTAGTACAACTAATAGAGCTCAAAGAGAAGTTGAATATTTCTCATAGAAATGTCTTTTAAAATAATTTCCATGATGGTCCTCTACCGAGAAGCAATGGATTTTCTTAAGATATCACCTTAAAGAACAAAATCCATATAATCAAATGTTTTGAAACAAGATAGCTTTAACATCATCTCTTTCTTTTTAATACTTATTTTTTATTCCAGAACACATATGCTTCTTTTCATCTGCATTCTACACTAATATCATCTTCAAACGATTAAGCAATGAAGAACATTTGATATTAGTTCTGGTAGAAATTTCTTCTTGCTTTCAGATTTGGGAAATAAGTTGAATTACAAATATTTCAGAAGCACTTGAAGTTACTCTTCTATCAACAGATATCACAATCCATTTAGCCAGTATGAAAGTTCTTCTGACAAGAAACCTAAGTTTCTCATCATTAGTCATTCCAAAGAACTTAAGCTAAAAGGAGAAGGTGATCTGTTGAATAGTTTTTCATCATCCAACTTCATTTCTTTCCTTTGAAGATTGCAAGACAAACCTTCAGAACACAATAGATTCAAGATGTAAAAATAAAATAAAAAATTGTGACTTTAGATTTAAGTCAAGGAACAATCTTTTCAGAATTTGATTGAAAAGATTAGATGAAGTGTAACTACTTCAAGCTTCAAAAAATGATCCCCACAAATTAAAGCACAAGTCTTCAAAGATAGTCCAAGCATCAGACATATCAATGATATTGATATACTCACAAGTGAGATAATGCATCTATCAGAATGTAACTATCTCTGAAGATATTCAATATGCATCTTCTGAGTTGGTGAAAGAGATTTTCAGGCTAATCATCTTTAACACCATCATCTTCTATAGTAATACCTTTTTCAAGGATATTCAATGGAGTCACCCATTTAAATATGGTAGGAAAAGACGTATGATATTTTTCATGTGACACTTGATTCCTTCTTGAAGAAGAAATATACTTTTCTTATTGGATCAATATCTGCACCAGTGTTAAGTGTTAAACACATACCATGCTCTAATACCAATTGAGAGTGTGAAAAGTACACAAGATGGGGGGGGGGGGGTGAATTGCGTTTTCTTGTTATTTAGCTTCTGATCAGAGTTTCAAAATCATAATTGATGTTCATATTCTGAGTTAATTCTTTTGGCAGCGGATACAACAAAAGTAAATACAATAGCAGTAAAAGACGCAAAAGATTTATACTGGTTTCTCCCCTAACTGAGAATAGTCCAGTCCCCTTGTCTCACAAGAGCTTTTCATTATAACCACTTCATGATTACAATCGCTTATCCTTCTGCATAAGACTTTTACAACAACTCAGACCAATTGTCTGAGACTTCCATTTCTTAGCGCACATGTCTAAGACTTAACCTTTGCTCACACCATCTGACTGAGTCGCCTGCTCATCTGTCTTCTGGTTGAGACTTCCCTTTGCTTAGATCACATGTCTAAGAATTCCTTTGCTGACACCATCTGACTGAGCCGACTGCTCATATGTCTTCTGGTTGAGACTTACCTTTACTTAGAGCATATGTCTAAGACTTTCTTTGGTCACATCCTCTAGCCGAGCCACCTACTCTTCTGGCCATCCAGACTAAGATTTTTCCACTTGTTCAATCAGACTAGCTGAATAAGACTTTCACAGCTCAAGCAATTAAGCAATGAGACTTATGTGGCTTAACCATCTTGGCTCAAGACTTGTTTCTTGAATTCCAATGAGACAAGACTTTTTGCTCAAACACATAGTAGGAAAGTTAATCTAAACTACCGAAGGCTCAGCAGAATATAGAATAAGGTGTACATGATGCAAGCATTAGAGGTAAGGTAGATCACCATAACAAAGACCTAAATATGTAAAAGGGTAAGAAATCTTAAGCCTTTTACAATTACAACCTAAAATAAAAAATATGCATATTACATAGAGTTGATAATTGTTTGATCTTACTACTCCTTCAAAAGAAGAATCCTTGTTAAAATTCAAGTTTGAATCTTCATCCATATATATAACCATTCTAAAAACTAGCCGTTGAGAAGGTATCTTGATCAAGTATCTTTACTTTTTCCCCATATTACAAGAGACGTTAAAGATGGATGCACAACAGATTCTGAATCCAATGTGTAACACATTTAACCTTTGAGTCTTCAAGAAGTTCTGTACTAATAGAGCTATTGGGAGCAGACATCCATAGAACGTACCGATTTTTCTTGAGCCTTGCGATCTTGTAGACTCGAGCTAATAGACTGATAAAACAATACAACTTGCTTTTAGTAGTACGTATAGTCCACAACTTTATCACCAACTCCGAATGGTACCAGATGTTGATATACAATTACTAAGTGTAGAAACTCGTCTGAATGCTGAAACCTTCAGTTCAGATTCTTCGTCAAACCACACTAGCAATTGTTCTTCAGATTCTGCCACCAGAAACTAGCAATGAAGTAACTTCAAGTGTGTCTTAAGTAAAACAGTTTCTGATTATTTATGTACGAGAATAAGAAACTGCATAAATAAAACACACATCAAATAAATCATTGTTTTTAAATACTTTTGTTATCATGAAAACTAAAAGAGAATAAGTCAAGAACAAATCTTCTTCTAATAATTTTAGACAACTTTTTATTATATGCATGAAAAACCTATTATTTTGTATATGTAATGAAAAATTCAACGATAAACTAAAAAATTACTTTATAAAACAACGCATAAAATATCAAAACAACTAAATAACCGATAATACTCATGCGGACAGTTTTACTCATGTATTCTCTAAACATGTAGACTTGCAAACAAACATGTATTCTCTAGACTTAAAAAAAAAAAAAAAGAAGCTCAATCTATCTTAAAAGAAGGATTTAAATAAATTACAAAATGAATATGATTTGTTTGAGATCTGTTTGAGATCTGATATCAACTCACAGAGTATGTCACTAATTTTACTAATACAGTCTAAAATTGCTTCATTGATCTATTTGTGCTTTTTTTTACGCGAAGAATATTTTAAAGAAACATAATTCAATAGAGTTTTCTTAAAGTGAAAAGTTCTAGATCAACCTTGTATAAATAGACGAAGCAGCAAGGTGTTATAGTAAAGTTGATAGTGTTGTGTACGCATATTCACAAAACTGTACTTTGTATTTCCAATCAACAAACTCTCATCTTCTGCTTTCTCCTCGGTAACCATCTCTGTCTAACCCTTTTTCCTCATTCATATCATTCTTCATTTGCACTCGTTTCAGTTACATTGCATGCTTTCAATCTTGTTGTGTAGAGAATTTAAAGAGAGACATGGGAAGACTTCTCTTGATCAATCTTGAAGGATACTTCTACAGCTGCAACCATTGCGACACACCTTTAGCCCTTGTTAATCATCTCCTTTCAACGGTTCTTATTTTCATTATACTTCTGGTTTTTGCAAAATCATAGCCTGCTACTGACAATCTAACCCTTGTTTTCTCTCAGAAGTTCGAATGCCCTTACAAAGGGCGGGCTTATCTTTTTGATAAAGTGTAAGATTTCTTTAACCCTCTCACTTCACTTCCATTGCTGTGTACGTTGATTCCTTCAAATAACATGTTGCTAATCCATATTGTCACAGTGTGAATGTCTTGGACGGAGAGAGAGAAGACCCAGTCCCAGGATCGCATTCTACTATCGTCAAAATATTCTGCGGTAGATGCGAGTACTTTCTTGGATGGAAATTTGTAAGGCTGGCCGTTCTTGAGAATCAGAGGTTCAAGTTTTTACTCTTAAGGTAATCAATTAACTAACAACATGTTTAAGCATAATCGGTAGGTTTTACATTATCTTTCTTGTCGCTCAAGTTATTAATACAGTTATGTTATGTTGTTACGGAGAAAATAGACCCAGCCACATAACATACTTATACCCTTGATTTTATATTCTATTTTGATTTAGGTGTTTGCTTACGCCGTCATTCTTAGATATAAAGAAGGAAAGTTTATCCTTGCAAGGTAATCAATTAATTAAGCATAATCTGTAGGTTTTAGTTTATCTTTCTTGTCGCTCAAGTTATTAATATGGATGGCCACAGAATGTAGAAAATAACAGTTTTGTTCAAATTCTGCTACATACATAGCATAGTTATTTTGCATTTTTATTACATAGGGTTGAAGATATTGGTGCCTAATGAAGACCCCAACATCGCTGCTCTTGAAGAAGTTTGATTTACTTACCATTTTGAATTGTACATTCTTAATGCTAGCTTCATCATGTTGTTAAAATGTAGTAAGTAGATACTTTACAAGTCTGCTATTTTGGAACTTTTAAGAGTTAGTTACATTTGAATTGTAATCAGATGTTGTGGTTAAAACGTGACATATATGTGTGTGAACAGTGGCGGAGCCAGGTGTGACCTAAGAGGTGTTATTGTTTCTTGTTATTTTACTGTTAACAACTGCTGTTTAAGAGCTGTTTGGAAAAGTTTATTTAGTGCTTACAAATATCATATGATATATACATATGTTGCTTTAGTTTATTTCGATAAACATTCTGAAATAGCTTATGATCGTGTTATCAAATATCTGCAATTGCGGGGCTATGGTGGTTATACCTGATGGCAGTTTTTGAACTCGTCGCAATGATAACTATCAGCTTATATTGCAGATATTTTCACCATAATCTGTTCTAATGGTGCCGCAAAGTATCCGATATGGCGGGATTTAGGCACTCGCAGTGGACCACCATCCGCTGTGGACAACAGTTAGACTACAAATAGCGGTGTTGCTGTAGTGCAGAATGGTTTAAAGTGGCTGGTGGCTGTCACATAGCTTTGTTAAAGTAGATGAACGAGTGGAAATGCAGAAAGTATTGCATATATTGCGGAACTTGATTAATATGAAATCTCCAATAATTCTAAGAGTTGGTTTAGTGGCAGAGATAAGGATGCTCAAATAAATCGGTTATTTAAATTATCTATATTCATATCCATATCCGATTTTTAAAAATCAGTTAATTATTAGTATAGTTTTAACTATTTCCGTGTCTTGGATATGCTATTAATACGGTTTTAATCAAATCCATAATTTATACATCCATATCCAAAATAAAAACTAAATTAATTAACTTTTTTATAAAAAAAAATTGAAATAAAAACTTTTTTTTAAATAAAAAAATATTTTATTTTTGAAAAAAAAATTCATTTTTTATGAAAAAAAAGTTTTTTTCTTTGAAAAAAAATTGATTTTTTTGGAAAAAAATTGTTTTAAAAAATATTTTTTCAGTAAATAGAAAAATACTGAAAATTAAAAAAAAAAGTTATTTTTTTAAATAAAAAAATATTTTTTTTCTAAAAATTAAAAAATATATATTTTTGAACATTAATATTTTTTTTAAAATAAAAAATTGTTTTAAAACAAAATTAAATAAAAACTAATTATAAAATTAGTTATGGATATAACCGGTTAATAACTGGTTTATAACCATTTTATAAAAATAAAAACCGGTTATTACAATTGATTTTAATAACCGGTTATAACATATGGATTATTTATGATTATGGATTGGTTATAGAAATTAACCGTCCATGAACATCCCTAGGCAGAGGCTTGGGTTTTGGGTTTTAAGAGTCTGTTTTTCTTAAAATCTTAAATTCAAATTTTTGTGTTGGGTCACTTTATAAGGAATTTTGTTCTGACTTTAAAGGAGATCCTCACTAGTAAATGAAGAGATCCCCACATGTCATTGTAGTTACGATTATTTTTGGTGATTCAACCGTCAGTTTGCTCTTCCACACCTCCTTGTTTTGTTAGCATTGTTAAAATCGAATTCCTATATACTCCATTTTTGAGGATTTTTTTTGTTGCAACTCATTTTTATTCCATTATTTTTTCAACACTTGTTGTCTCGTTAATGAAAGTTATAAATTATAGTACACCTTCAATAACTACTGGTAAGAGTTTGCACTTTCAATCTTCTACTGTTTATGGTAATATTCTTAGGAATACTTTGATTCTAGACTATGGTGTTATTAATCATATGTCATTTGATTTTACATTACTATCCTCATATATTTTACCTTTAAGTATTCTTTATATTCAGGTTGAAGAGTGGTATACACGACTATTATCTTGAGAATAACTTATGATACTTGTATAACATTCAATATAGTATTTTAATGGTGGGTCAATAAGTATAAATATTACTTCTAATATTTATACCAATGTGAATACTTGATAACTCTTTATCCATGATCCAAGAGATGTGATCATCAGTCTGTCCACATAATAGTCTCAATACTTTAATGTTATCACAATTCACAATAAATCTGACTACAAATACTTTAATAATATTGTCCTTATGTTTAATGGGTCTCACGATTAAGTCATACTTAATGCTTCATGTAGTGGTATAATTGCAAAATATCTAGAAGGTGGGGCGAATGGCATACGCTTGGCTCTTCATCCTTCCCAAGTCGCCTTTTCATGGGTTCGAGTGTCTATGTTCCGGATTAGTCCCCTTTTTCACGATACGCCGCTCGAACCTCCTTTTTCTCCATATGTAACATGTGCTCTTTTGTAGAGAATTTACCGGGTCAACAAATATTACATAGAAATTTGTATGTCCTAACAACAATACAAATTAGCATTGGTACAATAACTTTTCACCTCATGTGAGCTAACTCTTAATACTCTAACAACCCTAAATCCTTTGACATCCCACTAGAGGTTATCAAGCATTTGTACTTTGAATGAGTATAATTGGCGTTCACCATGAGGCCTATATAAAACTAACATATACCACGAACATATCATCTACTTACAATTGCTTGCACCATTTTCTTATGAGGATGTTTGAGAAATGTTTCAAGAAGACCATCATCATCATCTCTAGAGGTTTCGCTGAAGGAGGATAACCTAGCTCGTCCTAAAGAAGATACACCATATATGTGTTAAGAACAAACATCACACATGCAAAAGCTCTTAGCGTCTGTGGCAGAGACAGGGAGCCTAGAATTACCTTTTCGAGAGAAGACATGATCACCATACTCCTTCACAATTGTTAGAGTGTAATCCAAATTCATATTCTGTTGCATTTAGAGTTAATTTGGTTTTTCATTTGAAATGCATTTTAGTTTGGACTTGGGTATATAAGCAAAAGCTTAGTTCAATTTGTAACATGATTTTTGTATTCATTTTTCAATTAGAAGTTAGTTACAAAGTTTTCTCTCTTCCATCACCTTCTTCATATTCAACCTTCTGCTCCAACAATTGGTATCCAGAGCTCCAGTTCAGATTCAGGAACCGGAAACACAAGTGTAGGTGAGGCAAGTATGATTGATTCTTCTGCTCCAAAAATTGGTATCTAGAGCTCTGGTTCAGATTCAGGAACGGGAAACACAAGTGTACGTGAGGCAAGTGTGATTGATTCTTCTCATTCAATTCATAGTAAATTGAAAATCTGCAGTGAAAGAGAATCACATTTCTTGATTCTGAGAGATTGGAAAACACGAGTGTTTGAGATATCTGAGTGAATTTGCACAAGAAAAAATTGGAGTAAGTGGATGATTCAAATGGGTGTGTTGCTTGGCACTCAAGATGTTCTTGATCTCGTCAATGACAGCTACACGATGGTTGCAGCAGATGCAACTGAAGCACAAAGAAATGCTAAAAAAGAAACGAGGAAGAAGGACTAGAAGGCATTGTTCTATATCCATCAGTGTATGGTTACAAATGTGTTTGAGAAGATTGTTGATTCAACGATAGTGAAGGCTGCGTGGGACATACTAGTACAATGCTATAGTGGTGATGCATTAGTGAAGAAGGTGAAACTTCAGTCTCTACGTAAGCAGTATGAGAATCTTAATATGATGATCAATGAAAAGGTACCTAATTATATCTCTAGAGTGATTCTGATCACAAATGAGATGAAATCTTGTGGAGAAACCCTCTCTAAATTAGTAATAATTAAAAAGGTATTGAGATAACTTAATCCTTAGTTTGATTCCATTGTTGTAGCAATTGAAAACTATAAGGACCACAACATCATGAGAATTGAAGAGCTGCAAAGTATTCTAGCGGCACAAGAGTTGTGTCTGACTGAGAGAACCTATGAAAGACAGGTAGATGAGGCTCTGAAGGCGTCTTATGGTAAGAAGAATAAAAAGTAGTGTTGGTCAGAGGCTAAGAGTTGATCAAAGGCCAAGAGTTGGTCAAAGGCCAAGAGTTGGTCAAAGGCCAAGAAGAGACATGGTGGTAATTATTAGAAGTCAGAATCCTCAAACTCTGATGAGAAGAAATATCATAACGGATAGGAGAAGTTTGACAAGAAGAGGGTTCAGTACCACTGTTGTAAGAAGTTTGGCCACTTTGTTGTTGACTGTTACTAAAACAAAGAAAGGAAATCATAAGCAAACATAGCCAGAGGAAAATGTGATGATGAACCTATGCTATTGATGGCTTTTAAATTTTATGGTGGATATTTGGTAGACTAGTGGTATGTGGACACTGACTGCTCAAATCACTTAACAGAAAACAAAAAATGGCTGATGGATTTTAACTCTAGATAGAGGATAACGATCAGATGTGCTAATGATAAGTATATTAATGCTAAAGGAGTGGGAAATGTCAACGTCATAGTGAAGAATGGAAAAACTGTTATGATCAAGGATGTTTGGTATGTTCCTGTCATGAAAAGCAATTTGATGAGTGTGGGTCAACTAATTGAGAAAGGTTTCTCAATTACTATGAAGGACAATATCTTGAAGTTGTATGATTATGATCAAAAGCTGTTTATGCAATCTGAACAGGAAAGAAATATAATATTCAAAGTGAATATGGGAATAGTTGAAAATAAATGCATTAGTGCAGAAGGTGCTAAAGGTAACAACGATCTATGGTACAAGAGATTAGGGCATCTGAAGTTCATAAGCTTAGGGCATATGAGTTCTAAGAAGCTGGTACATGAAATTTCTAAGATTATAAAGCATGAGAAGTTATCTGCGATATGCATGAAAGGCA